GGCGCCGCAATAAAGAATACCTGCTTAATAACACTTAGTTTTCTCGGCTTCAGTACAACCAAATGATGAGCGCTGGAGTTAAATTAATCACTCTTAAAAATAAAATCTATCTGTGATAGATACGTAATTTCCAATTTCCACGGTGGTCTTCTCTGTCTTGGATTCAGAGGCTATGAAGCAAGACCATTTAACTGTGACCTATATGGTACACCAGACCAGGAAAGAACAAACATAGGCAAAGACACTTCTGAAGCCAAAGTAGTGATCATGACCAAATTTAAGAAGTCATAAATATTTATCAGTCACTTGGATACACTTTTTGTTTTGTTTAGCTTGAGTTCAGACCTCTTACATCTTGCCTTTAAAATGCCAACCCTACTTTCTATCCATACACGAAAACAGCTTCCTTTTGCGTATTCTTACCTTCAAAATTTTCAAAGGTATATCAAGATCATCCAAAATAGTATTACAGCAACACAAAGTGACGTGCTGAAAAAAAAAACATTCATAAAAAGATGGTGATAGAAAAGCTGGAAGCACCTCAGTGAGAAAGTCCACTGAACCTCCTGAAGGCAAAATTTAAGCTTGTCCCAGGGTTATTTGAGCTCAACGTAAATTTGGAAGCTGCCTGGAGAGGAAGTTTTTCCTCTTCTCTAGCAAAGCATTTTCTAGCCAAAATCTTGTCTCGCTGGCTTATGTTGTAGGTCTTTTCTTGGCACTGAGCAGTGAGACATTGATGCATGTGAGAATGGAAATATGGGACTTGACTGAGACCCACTCAGCACAGTGTTATGCACTTACTACTCTGAAATGCCCGATTCACCATCAGGCAACATTGACCCATCTTCGGGCTTCCTATAGCACCTGCTTGTAAGTGACTAACGCTGTAGAGAAAATAGCCATGAAATTGGGTCAAACCATCTATAGTAATAAACTGCTCTATTTGTACTCTTTGCTCTATTTTGTACTGTTTACTCAGGGAAACAGCTTCAAACAACTGCTGTACTAAACAATATCAGCACATACTCCTTCACTACTCTAATGCTGTGCAGAAAATCCCTTTGTTCCTCAAACTGAAGCAGACCTGGGAGGGAAAGCAGAAATCCATATAATGGGAAAAAGCAGGAAAAGAAGAAGGAGGGAGGAAAAGGAAAAAAGAAGAAAGTAACGAGACAGGAAAGAGATATAAAGAAAAGGACATTTAAATGATAATGTTTCTGTTATCACTTTTATTGAAATAATTCATGACATTGCAAATCGAGGAGGCAGATTTGCAGTTAAAGGAGAGCAAGGAAAGGAAAATAAAAGCAGAGGTGTGGTTCCAGACCAACAGAGAAACAGACTTGGGGTATGATCAGAGAAATTCAAGCCTTCAGGGAAGGACAGATAACAAAAAAAAAACCAAACCAAAAAAAAAAAAAAAAGAGCTGAAACAGCTCCCATGAGAAAATCAACAATGCCCAGGAAACAAGGTTGGTAGTAGCGGCTCTAACAGCAATTCTCCCAGAGCAGACGGAGCCGCCTCCAGCAGAGACGTGGTACAAACAGAACTAAGTACTAGCAGCACTCCACATCCCTCCCAACTGGCTCTTTGCTTTATTAGACTGACGTGCCTGTTCCGTGTAGTCTAAATAAACGGATTTCTGTAATCAAGGAAGACAATACAGTATAACAGCCTCAGCTTATTAAAAAGAAATGGGTGAGCAACTACAGAAGGAATAGAGCAAAATAATTTCCCAAAAGTAATTTTTCAGCAATGCTAACTCCTCCAAAATAATGGGCTGCAGAAATGGAATTTTCATGCACTGGAATAAAACCACCTTTCTTGCACAGAGCTGCATAAACATTAAAAGGAAGCAAGCAAATAATTCACAGTAACTGCATATATGAATCACAAACCCAACAAGATTACAAAAGAGTTAGGCCTCAGTTTCTGAAGTTACCTTGGGCAGATATACCCTATGCTGGTGAGGAGACCTACTGATATAAGTGACATTAACAAGATTTACTGCAGGTACAGGCCTCTACCCCTAAAGAGTGACCTGTGAGATCAAAGGATGAAGAACAACTTGCCATTGTCATGGATTAGTGCTCACTGTTTGTAAGTGAAGCTGTCAACCTGAAATGAAGGGGGCCAGAACCCGCCTCACCATCTCAAGAATCTTAAAAACAGTGTTTGAACTGAATTTAAGCACTGCATAGGTTTATGCTGATCTCTTGTATGAAGACCAGGTCTGTGCTTAAACAGAAAATTATGATGGCGAGTATCAAAAACCAGAAGTCTATAGTATATGAGTAGCAAAAAACTTAGAGGGTACAACTTCAACAGTGCAAGAAAAGTTACTGGAGAGACAAAAGAGTTATTTCATTAGGGGAAACTGAATGTAATCACGCAGAGGAACATTAAAATGGATTATTAAGTCTGAAATATTGAAAGCTTTGGGACTATTCCAGGGACAGAAACAAAGAAAACTTTATATATCAAAACCTTTCTGAAGACATGCCTACCCTTGCAAACCTATCATGTACCAACACACATAAGCTCTGATTTAGTCCTTGAAGTATTATCTGATTTCTCAATACCTATGACAAACCAGGAGTAAAAAGGAGTCTCCCTTTCTGTTGCTGATGTTTTTTGGAGCATAGGGGCAGTGAAGGCTTTTCTTTACCAACAGATATGAAATCTGTTGTATGTAAGAGCTCAAAAATTAGAAGATATCATGGCTAAGGCAACCAGTATTCCTTTTCAAACATACAACATCCAGGATACAGTAAATATATGGCTAAAAAGACTGACTCCAGGGCAACTTGAACAGGCTTTCTTGAAAACAAACATTCTCCCCTACTTTTTAAATATTTTTTTAAATGGCTATCTCTAATCTTATGCTACTGTTGTTCAGCAGTATAAGTTGATCACTAGCATATGTTTGTTGCACCAACAACTTAAGCAGAATATCACAGAAATTGTCTAATGTTTCTTGATTTGGCCGCAACAATTAAAAAGACTTAAGTTCTACTCCATAAATGCTATTTGTTCATTGAGAAACCATAGAGGCTCATTTTCATGTAACATTTCTTTCTTTACTTAAATTTGGTATTGTGGACCTTTAGAAAAAAATTAAACCGACCTACTGACAACTTTAGTTTCTCGCAGATGTTTTACACAAGGCCACACAGCCAGTTTTAGATACGTTATTTAGATTTATTTAGTCTTAGTCTAAAATCATTGCATTTTCTCAGAAGGGACGGATACAGACATGCAGAGGCCAGCTTACAAAGCCTGAATGTTAACTATTTTCAAATTCTTCTGAAGCTTGTAAATGCTTTTAGTTGTTTGTTTATTGCATAGCACCACGCAGCGAATCAGTGCTCCTCTGACGAAGCCTTTAACATTTCATAATTTTACCATGAGATAGCAGTACTGTACGTTTTAGCAGCTGATTTTAATATACCTAACGGCTTCTTCAATTTTAGCCTTTACAGGTCTTATTTGGAAAAACAGCAATCAATTTGATTTTGGAGGGCACTTAGGAAAAAAAGGGACACGGCTCATTCAAGATTAAGCAAATAACTCTTGTTTGCATTTATGGTGAAAAGATACTGTTGAGTCTACTTCCTTTTGAAAACTCTTGGCTAATTATTTTGTCAGGAAAGTAGTACGAGGAAAACCATACACAAAAAAACAGGCACCGTTTGCAAAAGGGTAGCTTCAGAAAGTGTAACAACTGTAGAAGTTCACAGTCCCTGGCCACAGCTAGGTACTAGCTAGTCTCATAC